ACTTGCTTTTAATCTATCCCTCTAAGAAGGGCTGCCTTACATCTCTTCCTTCTTTTGAAATATTCTTAACTTCATCCATTCATTGGTTCCTTCCTTTGCTGACCTCATCTGCCATTCACAGTCTGTCATATTATATTACCTAATGTGTAATTGTATGTTTCTGTACCACAATTATATTTGGTTATGTAAGTACTGGTTCCCCAATATGCATTTAAAGGCTTGGAAATAGAGCCTGTGGTTTGTTTCTTTTGCTCCCCACTTCAACATTTGTCAAAGCACCTAGATGTTATAGCTTTACCTGAGGTGAATTCTTAACGATGATGCATGCATCTCTCTCAAGGCAGCTGATAATGGTTGTCAAGTGGTATTTATTTTGGATAATATCTCTACCTTGATAGCAGCTTTGATAATGGTTAAGTTGCAATTGCAAGTGCCAGTTTCAGAATATCAGTTCATTTTAGTAAGAAAATAAGAAAGTTTATTTTGACTATCTATGCAACCTCTTTTGTATTTAAACCTCAACCTTTAAAGAAAACACTAAATTGTTTAATTTTTTTTCTGAAGATAGTGGGCTAACAAAACTACTCACAAAGGACTGTAGGTATGGCTCAAGAGGTAAAGTACCTGCCTAGCATGCATGAGACCCTGAGTTCAAACCCAATACTGCCAAAAAAAATCTACTCACAGAGCATACTAAAAATTGATATTCTATATGTCTCTGTATATGGATATATTTATGTTAGATACTCAAAATATTTCATTTAGAAGATTTTAAAGAGATAAATTTTTGTCCAGAGTACAGTTTTAAGTTCACTAATAACTTATAAACATTAAAATCAACTCTTTTCTCCATCAGACTATATAGAAAAAAAAAGGGAAGATAAGAATTCTCTTCACTTTTCATTATTTCAATAATAGAAGAACTCACTCCTTTTCTAGACTTTGGGCAGCCAATGAGAAATGGGAAAAGCTATTCTTGTGCCCTTCAGGGAAAAAAATATGTATCCGTCTGGCAGTAGGCAGAACCCAGCAAAAGGAACCACACATGTGTACCAGTCCCATCCACTTTCAGGGATGTACTCTAAAATTCTGTAGGAAAGAAGCAATCCAGAACTGCAGTGTAGCATGCCTCTAATTTCAGCATGCTATTCTCTTCCATGGCAGGCTAGCTGAATAGAATGCATAGCCCCTTATTAGAAATACCCCAGTCTAAATCATATTCTTTTAACAAATCACTAGAATAGCTACTGAGAAACTAATCTTTTCAGAGTATGTGCTCTTTCAGGAAGTGAAAGAGTGCTTTTTTCTCTCTTCACTTCCAATTAGAAGGGAGCCATTATTCCTCTGTCCATCCTAGGAAAGAATCATTTCACTACAAAGAATGTTCCAAAGACAGATAAGACTACTGGACACATTACCAAGAAAATTAGACCCAATAGGGGGTCTGTTTGCCCATTGGCAATCCCTAGGTATTTCACAATGTATCTCTCAGGTTTCAAAGAAATAATGTATGGAAAAAGTGGTGTGGCAATATAGAGATGTAAGAGTGATAATGATTTATTTCTATACATATAGGTGACACTCTGAAATGCAGCTATATATTATCTATTGATGCACTGGTATAATATTGAAGCTACATTTGCTTAATTGCCTTTATTTAGCACCATACATAGAGCTATGCAGAGGTAAATGTTAATATATGTGCATTATTGTAGTGAAATAAAGATATTTATAATCAGGCCAATTTTTAAAACACTTTTTCTTAAAAAGTAGTTCATTCAAGAATGAGTAATTGTTTCTTTGTTATTTTGAGTGATCTAGATGCAATTCTTTCATTTAGCTGTAGATGTGATATGCGTGTTATTCTAGAAACTACCGGAGGAGATAAGGACTGGAGGTTTCAAGAGAGTGCAGCTCTTGACCACCCCCTCAGACATTAATCAACACAGCTATCCTTTTATCAGGATAAGGAGGTTCTCAGTAAGCTATTGTTGGAAGAATAGAACCCGATCCAATAATTTTTAAAATCTCAGAGTAATTTTTCTATATACATAGAAATATTACCTGAAATTCCACAAAAAGAAAAATGTGTGATTTTAAAAAAAATCTGACATTATCTTGTATAACCATTAACTTACACTTATACTTGAGTAGATGTAAAGCAAAAAGAATACCTGACAAGACCACAACAAGCAGGCTGACACATGGTAACATAGATGACCTTATTAAAAAGTTAATAGCCTACGTATCTTAAGGTTATAACTATGAGCACTTGCATAATGTTGGTATTTAATATCTATTCATTTCCATATGCTACTTTGTCTTAAAGACACTGGCATGTCCATTTTTTAAAACACTGGCAATTCTGTTACATTAACGTACCATTTCAAATGATTTAATGGAGCAACCTTAAAAAAAAAAATCTAGAACTGAAGAAACTCCTCCTTCACCTTCAAACCCCGTAGCTTTTATTCATGTTCACAAAGAAAACCTTTCAATGATTTTCAAAATGCAGGTGTGCAAATTAGTCCTGAAATAGACAGGAGTCAAGTTTTTCAGCATCCTTGAACCACTGTTAAACACACCCCAGAGCATTTTTCAGCTCATAAAACTTTTATGACCTGAAAAATTCCTTCAGATTTTTTCAACTGCTAACTTCAGTTGCCCTCTAGCAACAGAACCTGTAATTGCTATTAAGATCCATTTGAGCAAATATAACATAAGCATGTCATAAGTCTCATGTTTTGTTTCAAAGTATTTAAAAAGGGAATCAAGATTTATATGACTTGCTGAGTGTAGCAAAAATTATGAAATTATGAATGCCCAGGTTTAGTGTAGCATGGGTGGTATTTTTGCTTACTTGGATACAGTGTACATAGTCAAGGTCAATTCTATTGAGGCGAATAGATTTATGCAAGGTCACATATGCACTAAACACCACAGATTTTCCAGTCTGGAAACATGAAAAGGTTAGTTTTTCCAGGAATATATGCACTTTTCCTTATTATTGTATACACCTGCCTTAGAATTCATTAATTGAACATCTGCTTTAGATTGTTTTCCCTTGCCAAAGTTCAAAATGTTAGAAAATTAAGTTTCTCCTAGAAAACAAATAAAATTAGTGTAAGTGAGCAGCTGGGTCTGAGTAAACCCCATTGTCTTATGGACACAATAAACAATGCTGTTAGTTTTAAGGAGAATGGCATTTATAGAATTCAGGCAAATAAAGATTATAGATAAATAGATTGCCCTATAGTTACATGCAACCTCCCCAACTCACACACCACTGGAATCCTGCCTGATGGAGATGACCAAGTTTCCACAAGGTTTTCTGACCAATTATTACCAGCACATAACAAAATTAGTTTGAAGACAAAACTTAGTCCCATGTTTTGGATGTAGAAGAAAGAAAATACCTATTCATATCTACCAGGTGTAACTAAATTAAGTGTACAAATTACATATACATATATACCTTTGTATAAATTGTTTCAGTTGGGTTACTCAGACCCTCCATTTTGTGAAATCATTTATAAAATTAGTTTGGGGATTTTTTGTTTTGTTTTGCTTTTTTCCCTGATGACCGTTTCCCTTTTGTAATTTGATACCCCTAACCTTAATGCACAAGTTCCCATTTAAAAGAGGTGTTACATGCAAATATTTTGTTTTGTATTATTTGATTCACCTCAGTATCTACATTAACAACAGAGTGGTATATATTGAGAAAAATCGCTATCCAGTAAATTACTCAAATGCTTTTCAAAATTCTCAAATTAAGTGCTAGTAGTTATTTACTTATTGCTTCTCTTCACTTTTCCTCATACAGCTGTAATTTTTCCAATTCTACTAAGAGCAATACTTATTCCTTCTTCTTCATAACTCTGTTCTTTCCTAAAGTTCTGAGAGATGGGAAAGGAATATAAAAAGTAGAAATTTTCTAGGATTCCCAGGAAACAGAAAAAAAAAAAAATCATGTTCCAATCTTAGTTTAAAAAAAAAACTGTACTGGAAAATGGGGATTAACTGTAATACTCAGGGATACGTCTACTGTTCACTGATTCACTGCTATACAAACACTTCTACACTGAGAAAGTTCAGGATAATAGAAGCCAGGACATTTTCATCAACAACACTAGATGCCAACTGACTTGACAATAAAGTTACCCCTCTGTTTCCAACAGGAGAGCTGCTGATCACTCCAATGAAGGTAGCATCACCCTTCAGAAAATGGCAGCCTACAGGGCATAGCATAGTCCAATAGTAAGAGAGAAACTCTGTCAGAAAGACATCCTTCCAGTCTGGCTTCTCAGAGCCAGGTCAAGGAAAAGTGAATATTTATTTGTTTAATTCTTATACTAAAATTAGAACAACTTACTGAAATCATTGAAGTTAAATCACTGAAATTTACACCAATGCCTAGAACTAAGAAAGACTGTATTTGTTCTAAATATTTGACATTGCATTAAAATACTCAAAAACACAAGTTAAAATAGCATTTAAAACTAGACCTATTGACCATCCCACAAGTTTATATAATAAATCTGAAAAATCCTGGAAGAGAAAAAAAATGCAAATTTTTAAATGTCAACTCTAGAGACGGGTGAAATCATTTTAGCTGTCCACATTGTAAGAACTAAAGGTTAATAGTTACAGACCAATGGAATGTTAACACAGTCTAGTGCTACATTTGAGTAGTAATGTATGGAAAGACACTGAAATTAAAACACTTTGTTCTACATGTTCTGAAGTGATGTAACAGTGATGATTTGGTTATATTAGATGACAAAGCAGGGCTGCTTATGACTTTTAAAATAAAATTGTATCTAACATTCTTCCAAATTGTTTAACATATTCTTCCAATCCTTGTACAAATATATGAAGCTAAGACATCCTTGACACTCCAGTTATCTTTAATGGCAGCATTTGGTATGTTGATTATTTTTTTCCCCAAAAGTAGCTTTCAAGATAAAATGCTGACTGGCTTGGAAGCAAAGACTTACCTGTCTTGTTTTCTCTGACCTCAATAATATAAACATTTATGTCATGGTGGAATTTTGTCCCCTCTGGGGGTTGTGGAGTGGAAAATGCTTGAGGTCTGAAGGCCTCTTTGCTTTCCACAATAGGTGGTCTTGTTGACTGTGTAGCAGAAGTCCTTGAAGTTATTTGATACTCTTTACCAATATCGGTTTTCATTTCCTTAGTTGAGATATCAACAAGGGTGGTGTGAGGGACATGAGATGTTGGTTCCCTAATGAGTAGTATGTCATGGGTAATTTTCTCACTGGGTTCCTTATCAATGAGAGGTGACTTCTCAGTGGGTTCTGCAGATGGCTGGAATGTTGAAGTTGTGTGATGTCTGTCTATTGAACTGAAGGCAGTCATGATATCACTCGTAACTACGGTTTTAACTGTTGAAATTTTGGGGAGTTCTGTGGCTTGAGGCTTTTCAAATAATCCTGAGCCTAACTCTGTATAACCCAAGGGTGTTTTCTCTCTTTCCTCAGTAGTGGTTTCTTCTATAAGCTGGGTGACATGAGTACTGAAAGAACTCAAAGGTGACACAAATTCTGTTGGACTACTACCTTCTGCTTCATATTTTTCTTCAGGCTCTGGACTTAAAACTACTTTTGGCCTGGTACTTGGAGTTTGTGTTATCATTTCATCAGTTTCAGCTTGGTGCTCAGTTATAGCACCAGGTAGATAAGACATACCATCCTCAATTTTTCCAACTTGAGTTGGTTCTAAAACTGGAACTCTCTCAAAACCTGTCACCAATCTATCTTCAGAGACTGTATATGCTGATCCATTGCCCTCTTCTTCATCCAACAGTGTTGTTTCCTTAGGTATACCTGTGGTAGAACTAGGAGCAGGAACTGGTTTCCCTGTGATCTTTTCTTTCCAAGGTAATTCCTCAGGAGTTATTCCCTGAGTGATTTCTGTTGTTCTCAGAGTTTGGGGAGATGCAGTTGCTTCTAGATGAATCTGATCAACAACACGTGTATCTTGAGAGGGTTCACCTAGAACTTCCCCTTCTGATGAAACAGAAGGTGCTAACACTCCCCATTCTGTTTTGGGAATTATAGAAAGAGGAATGGTATGGGAAGTGTCTACATAAGTAGTAGGCTCCTGAGTGTTACTATAATTAACAAATGCCAATTCTTCCATATCTGAAGTATGTGCAAATGGGGTGACAGTAAATAGTGATTTAGAGACATCTACATCTTCTCCTTCACCCAAAGCACTTCCTTCCATGGTTGTATGAACAACTTGGCCTTCTGTGCTTGCAGTAGGTGGAACTCTTTCTTCAGTTGTAGAATCTCTCCAAGTTGACTTTTCTGCAATGCCAATTGTGGCAGTTGGTTGAAATTTAACTATGAATTTCCCAGATGCTAAGTCTTTCTCAGTAAACTTTTTAAATGGCTTTTGAGTACTATCTGGAATAAGAGTAAATTCATCTCCTCCATATTCTGTGAAACTTGAGATTTTTTCATCCTTTCCATTTGCTCCCATAGTGGTGAGTAAGGCAGGGGCAATTTTGGGGAGCCCATATGTTCTGTGGAATCTAAAGGCTTTGATGTGGCATTAACTTCATCCCATGACCATTTTGATACAGTGACCACCTCCATATTTAAAGTACTCTGAGTCAAGTGGGTTGGTGTAATATCTTCATCATACTTTGTTGTTTCTTTATAGTCATCTTTTTCTAATCCATCCAGAGTTGTCATAGTATCTTCTTCCATACCTCTTGCTTCTGTTGGTTTCACACTTAACTTCACTGTTGTCAGTGCTGGGGAAACAAAAGGTTTGGTCATTTCCACAGAAGGCTCTGTAAAATCAATTTGCTCTGAGGAAGATGTAGAGAGCTTCATTCTAGAGAAGATTTCTTCTGTTTTAGTTTTAAATGGTTCTTTGGTAATCTTTTCTTGTATTCCATCATCTGTATAAGTATCTGTTCTCATCTCTGGTCTTGCTGTCTCTGTTCTTTCTTTTCCTTGTGTCATTTCTGTTTGTGGTGAAGGATAGATAACTGTGGGCATTCCCTCTACTAAAATTTTATCACCAGAATAAGGAAATAATTCTACTTCTGTAAGATACTGTGATGGAAAAGGTGTAGTAGGTAGAGACTGGCCAAAAAAATCTTCAGTTATCCTACTGATAGTTTGTTTCTCTTCCCTGCTGTCAATGGATGCCTCATCTCTGTCAGGCACAGTTACAGGTGTAACAATTGTGGATGCTGAAATTGACTCCAAGTCCTCCAACTGAGAGTGAGTAGTGTCTTCTAAGGTCTTTGATACTGTAATGACTTCAGGTATTTGACTAAAGACCAAGGTGCTCTGACCAGATCTAACTGTAAGTGTTTTGCCTTCACTGTCATCTTTTCCCAAAGTGAATCCATAGTGACTTGTGGTCACCAATTCAGGAATGGTGCTTACTGTTTTCTTTTCAGCTTTGGATTCCAAGGTCATTTCTGTGGATAAAAATGGTGTTTCAGTTATGGTCAATTCTTCAGAAGGAATGTGCATTGAGATTTCCATAGATGTTACTAAGGGGCCCACTTCTATTTGTTCAATCTGTGTAACTGATTCTTCTGTTTGTGTGTCATCCATGTCACCATCCCACAAGTCAATAGCATGCTGGGAGATGACAGTTGTACTTTGGAGCACTTTCTCCTTAATTTCAGAAATGTCTGGTTTTTCAAGTGGTCCTGAAGCAGAAGGTGAGTAATCATCCATATCCCAAGGCTTCTTGGCATCCCAAGTAGGTGTGGGTGACTCAGTAACTAATTTGTCTGTGATACCCTGAGGTTTGACTGTGGATTTCTGTTCAAAATTGACTATGTTTCCTGCAGGAGGGAACTTTGTGGTAACAATAGGTAATTCGGTGACTAAAGGGATGATTGGTGTAGTTCTGTCCAGTACCATTTGTGGTTCTTTGGATAAACCAGATGACACAGTTTCTGAGAGGATATTCATTTCGATGGTTGTAGCCTCTGATATATTCTGTTTAGCTAGAAAGACAATTTCAAAGAGTTGATTAGACAAGTCACTAATAAAGCTGTATGTCCAGTGTTTGTTAAAAGCTGCTGTGTATTTTCAGGTGAACCAAAAGTGTTTTGTGGTAGAAAGGAGTCTAAAAACTCAATTAACCCAAAGACAGATAATTGATAACTTATTAGTCACAAACTGACAAACTGTATACTGTAAACTATATATTTAAGGGTCATGATTGCTTTTAGTCACAGGTATGAATGACTGTTAAGGAAAATGAATATTATGAGGTTGAAGGAAAAGAAAAAAAAAGATAAGGAAAGTCCAAAAATATTAATTGTAGAGTTTGGATTTACTAGATAGTTTATTTATCAGAAGCTACAGCAGCAACTTGAATCCTAGTAGGGAGGTTTGTGTGCCCTGCTGTTAGCTTTCTCCACATATCCTCTCCTTCCCAAGCTGCCTGGACTCTCAGGGGAGAGGGAGTGTCTTAGACTGAAAAACAACAAGAAAGCCACATCGATGTAACCAAGTTACATATAAGCCATTACTTTGCCCATAATGTGGAGATATTCTTAAAAACAGGATATTATACTTTTTAATACCACTCTTCTCTTGATTCAGGTGTTGGACATTTGTCTTCATTTCCTTTCAACTCTGTAGACTTGTTTCTAATAAATTATAAAATTCAACTATGAATATTGTAAGAACTTTTGTAAATGTCACAATGTACAACAATAATTTAAAAATGTGTCTGACAAAGGATGGTTAGCGTTTGTTGTAGTTCTACATCCTGTCCTATGTTGTACACACTAGGTTTGCATTTCCAGTCCTACTTTAGCATGAAACACAAACGTACAGAAAGTAAAGTACCCACATGATGTATTTTAGGTCTGTAATTACAAATCACTGGAACAATGCTGAGCATCAGAAAGAATGGGCTAAGGCAATATATCTGTCATCATAAAATGTTGCATTATTATGACTCCAGATTTACAGAGAATGGCTGGTCTGTTTGAAGAAATTTAAATTACTACCATAAGTGACAATGTTATAAATACAACTCCAACTTAACAGGGAAAAATACAACAGTATAGCAAATACGGATTTTTTTTAAAAATCATTATTTTCAAAAACAAAAATTATTTGCAACTGAATTCAAAAGTAACTCTTCTGAGGAAACTCACAGTCATTGTTTTGCTACATCCTAGATCACTTAAAACTAGCCGTATAACAGACAATGCTAGTTCTCCATGATACAACTTGTATTATCTGTAGACTCTATAATATCCCCAACAGGAACTCTTGAAAAACTAAACTGAGTACCCTTTGGCTCCATCTGCTCTGTCAAAACCTAATGATAAAATGATGTGATTTTACTGTAAATCTGAACAGGGCAGTAATGGGTTCCTGGGTTTTTTTGTCTGGTATGTGCTGTTATTAGCTGTCGTCATTCCCCAGACCATTTTAAAGCTCAAATTCATCGTTTATAATGAAAACTTGGTGGCCATTTACACTATTACACATTTAAATGTTCCTTAAAGACTGACACTATTTATCCTTTTATATTAAAACAAAACAACCAAAAAGCAAATTGGAATCTTAAAACTATGTTAAGTAAAATTAATAACTTTTTCTTCCTTTAAAAAGAAAAACAAAAAACAAAGTTTTTTCTGCCTTCATTTCCTGTAAGAAGCATTGGTATACTGTGATTGACATGAACAACTTAAAGACCCAAAATGTGTGACTATTTTTCTTTTAATTCAATTCTCTATCCTCTGAAATTCCATAACCGTTACCTCATTTAACTGCCAAATTTCATGTTTGTCTTATAACTGCATTCTTTGGGGACATAGTAAAAAATATGTACAGAGAAAGTTTCCATGGAAACATAATATAAACTCTTAGAAACCTGCATATTGGAGAAAATTTAATCACATTATTATTAATAACAACAAAAAAGTTAATTTTACTTTTTCCCTCTGAGTATTTCCATGGTTGATGAAATTAACTTAAAAGAAGATGATATTTCAGTGGGCCCAACAAAGAAACAATGAATCAGGTTTTCCTATGTCCACACGTGATCTCTCTGCTGACAACTCTCCACAATGCTATGAAAATATTTTTACAGTGTTTTAAAATGGACTGAATTTTAAAACCGAACATATGTCATTGTCAATTATCACTATTCAGCTTGCTGCTGCTCTCCTCTAGTCTTGTTGCACAGGAAAGTGATAGCAGTATGTCTCAGGGAATCTGCCTTACCAGGGTAGATTTATGTGACTTTGTTTTCAGTTAAAAAAAAAAAAAGGGAGGGGGAGGTTCAATCACTTCAGAACCCTGTTTAAGAAAGTCTGCTTACAATTAAGTTAATTAATTCTACAACTTGGAATGGAAAAACCTCAGATTTCCTTTTGGGGTTGGGAGGCTTTTTGTCAACCTAACAGCTGATTTCCATCATAACTTAGTATATCTGATCATCTGCACCATTTGTTTCAGCCATCCCAAAAACGGAAATATTTTTAAAAGCACCAATACCTACAAATATATAAGAATAAATACTACTATATAACTGATGACTATTATAAAGATGAAAACATTATTTGTAGATTATTCTCAAAGTATCCTTCCAAAAAGTATAGTCACATGGAGACATTTTGGTCTTGGAAAACTACCAGTGTTCCTTCAACTTCCTTATTAAGGAAGCCAACAAAAATCAACATGCTGCTTTTCCCACAAAAGTTCCCTTCCAGCCTTTGCAGCTGTCTGCCACACAGATGTTATACATCACTGTACTTATAGTATTTTATGTCCTATGGACTATCTTCTCTGGGCTTCTGTGGTGAGACATGAGGCAGATTTTCCTAATAAAATATAAAACTCCTACTAGCAGCATAATAGTTGACTTAACCCTACTTCATTCTCTACATTATGGAGAAAAGACTAATTTTAAATTGGTTCGTCTACATTACATATGATGTATAAATACGTGTAAACATGGGAAGAAATCGCAAATGGAATAGCTATTCAATAGGTTGACTCAGGGTTCACGTTTTAGAAAAGTGTCTAAGTTGGAAAGTGAGATTAGAATTTGAAATGTTTTCTAAATTTAATGAATGTTAACTGATTCAAGTTCACAAAACAGGAAACATTTTTCAAATGCAAATTCAGCAAGGATTAGTTTTGACACCCAAGAACAGATTACAATTTAGGGCACAAAAAAGATAATGAAGTAACCATAGGTTAGAAGGGCAGGCCAATTTTAAATGTGAATAAATATATAACGGTATATGAACTGGTAGGAACTAGTTTAGCCTGCTATAGACCACAGTGTCTAGTCCAAACCTAACTGAACAAAAGAATGTGAAAAACAAGGAAGGTTCAAAGCAAAACCATATGACCATTAGAGATTCAGAAATTCAAATTTTCAAATCAAGGAAACTTTCATTTGAAGAAGACACTGAGGAAAAACTAAATAATTATGCTCAATAGAAATGGCTACTTGGATTTTGGTCTCCAAGTTCAAAAAAGAAAATGGATTCAAACACTAAGGTTCAAGCTCTGCAATAATCAGATTCTGTGAGTGATTCTCATAAAATATTGGAATCAGTTTTCAAGAAATCATGCATTTCTCCTTCTCCTGGAGATCATTAATAACATGCAATGTGAGGTTATCATCAGTCTTGAATTGTTTTGAATCATTTAAGTTTGGAGACATTTGGGGTGGACTTTCAAAGCCCTGTATTTCTAACTTTCATAGAACTTGCTTAATTCCAAGGTCAAAAAAAAAGTGTACAACTTTCATCAAGGAAAATTAGACAGGAAAACTATTTCACAAAGACATTCTTACCTATTTTTCAAATATATTTGACCAGAATAGATTCTAACTTTGTTATTAGTTACTGGAAATGTACTATTCAGTAACAGGGGGAGAAATGGCCCAAACAATGTATGCACATATGAATAAATGAATAAAGAAAAATAAAGAAATACACTATTCAGTAACAGTATAAGGATAAAAGGACAATAACAAAGTAGTATTTGGAATGTTCATTCACCAAATGACTTAAAAAACACTTTCAACGTTTGATAAAACTAAATGAGAAAAATATGAATATATTTCTAAATTCCTGTTCTTAGCCAGCTAGCTATACATTACTGAAATCACTTTGGGAACCATGAATGAGGCCACAACTCTTATAAACTTTATCCTACAGAATTTATCACTATATATTATGTGAGAAAAAGTGGACATTAATTAAATCATTTTGAAAACATTTTTTCAAATTCTTTAAAAATACATAGTATATGATCAAAAGTACTTCATATGCATGTATGAAAATAAAATAATGAAAACTGCTAAAATTGTTTTAAAAAGAGAGGGAGGGAATACAAAAAAATATTAGAGAGGGTGAATTTGATCACAGTATGTTATATTCATGTATGGGAATATCATAATGAAATCCCTTTGTATAATTAATACACACATAAAAATTTTAAATACATATTAAAAGAATCCTTGAAAATATGCATTAGAAATTTGAGGAAGCTGTGACGCTGTGTGTTGTTTAAGAAAAGAGCTTATGCTATGGCCAAATTCTCTTAATCTCTTACATTCTTAATGAACTCTGAATATGATACAATCTGAGGAAAGGAAGAAATAAACAAGAATCTGGACTCTAGCTTAGATAGGAAAAACCTCAAAATATGAATCCATTCTATTTCCAAGTTCTATATACTTAAAGGAATTAGAAAAAAATAGATCTAAACCTTCAAACTTTTTGTGCTTTATGTAGATTTTTAGTAAGGGATAAACCTATTTAAATCTAAGTACCTTGTTTCATACATCCATGTGAATTCTACACTTAAGTAATATAAAACAAAGAATTCTTCAATACTATTCTTTCTGGCTATTGATAGGATTTGGTTTCAATTTTACCCTCAGGGAGAAAAATGTATGGTTTAGAAGTTTTCTAGTGCCAATTTTATAGAGCACAGGTAAACTTAAGTAGGTGGTCAGGCTAGATATTCTATTCATTCCCTATTTTAGACTTTCCAGCCCCTTTCCTCCTACACATCAATCTGATTTTGTTCCTTCATTACATCAGTAGTTAACATAAAACTGATTTTAGAGCCTGATTTCCTTAAAAATTACTGTTGTATGTGGCTTAAGGAATGTGTATCTGTCTACTTTTAGGATAAGGATATTGTTGTTGTTGTTTTCTGCAAATGATTAAGGAAGACTTTTTCTGTCGTTTCAGGACCTAGGAACAAAAGCTACTACTTTCCATGGCCTTTTATGGATCAACCAGCTTGAATTCTGCTAATGTACAACAGATGGCTTTAACACTCAAAAAGTTCAGTCTGAGGGGGAGATGCAAGCAGAGGCACTGTAGCTGAGAGAAAGAAGTCTGTGCAATGAAGCCTTTCATGGTTCTATTGGCTTATAATTCCGTCTATTCTGCTGACTTCTTAAACATCACATCTCTGTCTTCTTTCAATGGTGAAAAACTACAGTGTATTTCAATTTGGAAACCAGTTAATAATGAGCTAGTGTATTTTCTACTCATTTTAGTTACATATCACTATAGCAAGATGCATTAGTCCAAAAATCTTATGATATATCAATATAATATGATTCAAAGTTAGAAATAATCAAGATCACTAAAAAAATCTGAGCGTTTATGTTGGCCCTACAGTAAATGTTACAGTAAGACTCTAGACTAAAAAAAAAAGACTCTACAATTAAGACACAATACCATGTGACTAATATTGCTAAAATAATTTAAGAATTTTTAAAAATTTAAGTATATCATGAATGTTAAAATGTTACTTAAAGCTAATTTTAAGTAATAAACTTAAAGATGCCCTATTTATATTACATGCTGCAAGGAGGATATATTGTACTTCACTTAATTCAACATGGAATTATTCATTGTAGGGAACATACTCCATTACTTGAAATAAAATGAACTTTATGGGTATTTTTATTGATAGATTGGTTATTTGGGGGTAGGAATTGGCATTATGATTATCCATGTCAGGTCCAAGAACTTACTTGCAATGACTAAAATTTAATATTTCACCGTTTCTTTAAAAAAAAAGAAAAAAGTAATATCAATCAAGAACTAAATAAACACAATTCAAGGATTTAACTCAGCCACTTTGTCCTCAGCATTATAGTACCAACAATCGAATTGCATTTAATGACAGCAATTAACATAAAATGATGATTCTGAAATATTTTCTGTGATTCTGGATGCAACAGAGCACAGTTAAGACCTTAATCTAACATTTCCTCATTCCCTGCAAAAATTAACTTGCCAAAACACCTGTTGTTTTAACCATATCGCCACCATTAAGTTTGCTTGCTTTGGAAAGTCACTGAACTGTTTCCATTCCGCGCATAGACTGCAATGGAATCCATTCCAAAGGCTAGCTGAACATGCCTTTGCGGGATTTTTCATTTGTAATTTTAAAAAAGGTATCAAACACTTACGTTTAAAGCAGTAGGCATCAAATCTGCTATCAGGGGGAGGGAAGCCTGTCTGGTTCTCAAAACGATACAGGGTTCTCACCCCAAGTAGACCACCTCCACACTGGGCCCTGGCCACAGTCACAGGGTGGCGCACGCTGGCATCCTGCAACCACCCGTAATCGCACTGGTCAAAGCCATTCCTCCACGCCGCGTGGAGTTCCCCCACTGTCGCCAGCCTGGCGCCCTGGCTGCCACACTCTTCTTCAGCCTCCTCAAAGGTGAACTTATTAGGAGCAGTGATATGGAACACATCACCTGGAAAAGGAAGAGGAAAAGAAGAAAAGGTCTTGAGTTTTATATTCATTCTTTTGCTGTTTTGATAAACATAGAGATGGACATATAATACTTTTTTCGTGGCAAAGTAGCAGCTTCTAATATCATAAAGCAGGAAATATTATGATTACTTTGGTAAAATTATTATTAATATATAATAAAATAACACATCAGAAAATTTTCATTCTATGTATACATACGACTCTGTGAGTCTGTGTGTGTTTAACTACAGGTCAAAGAAACAGTCATTTCATAATAAGGTTATAGTATTTTTTTAAATGAACAAATCTTTCTAATCATTCTTCAGCTTACTGTACAGGGAAGGTTTTGGGGGATTTGTTTTTTTGTTTGTTTGTTTTACCAAAAAAGCTTTTGATGTACTGAGTAACATTTTACACTAGGAGAAGAAAGCTGTATTGAACTGACACCAAGGTTACTTCACTTTGTTTATCCTAACATCAAATAGATTCTCTAACCCAGTTCTCACATGTCATTACCAGCAAATGGATTAAGCCAAACAATTAAATAAGAAAACCTCCAGGAGTTTGACTCAGGAAAGGACAGAAGCAATATGGAATGCTGTTCCCAACTTCCTCCTATGATGGTTTTGCAAGTATGGCCACAATAGCACAAGACCAAGGGTGCATGGGGGTTGACATCCACTCCCACTCACCCAGCCGAAGGGACTCAAAGAGTCCTTTCTTGCTCTATTCAGAAAGGATGTTTTTTGGAATCTGTCTGCCCAGAAGGGGAACTTTTTCTCATTTTTACAAAGACTGTAAGTTGGGGACTCTAACGAAGCTTATGAGACTGTTGCATTTGCTACATATTAGCTTTATTCATCACCAGTTACAGTTAGCAGAGGGACAATTCATTATTAGTTAACATGATATTTATAATCAAATATTCTGGAAAATTCAGTTTGTTAAATTGAAATTTTATTTGGGTAACTAGTACAACAATTTAAAAAAAAAAAAACCTGAAATTAAATGATGCTTTTCCCATATGAGCACAAGTGGTAAAAGACAGAGGCAGAAAAAGAGAACACCTATGCAAATATAGCAGACACCAGGTGAAATAAAAAATGAGATACAGAAGCAGCTAAAATATTGATAGCCCATCCATGTAGCAGCTGTGGGTCCTGTTTCCATTTCACAGAAGCCAATCTCTGATTCTGTGATACATTAGACAACAGGGACACAGAGAGCTCTCATGACTTAGATCTTCCCTGAACTAAAGCCACATATAACAAGCAATTGTTTAAAATGAATAGTACCATTACTATGAGTGTGTGGTACCTTTACGAAACAAAGCAAAAAATATTAGTCACAGAAAAAATGCCAAAGTACACATATCAGTTTTCCTCACTATAAATCTAAAATTGCTACTGAGGAAAGTAGACCGAATTCTGATAAAAGCTATTTGAAGAAAAGAAAGAAAAATTACTTTTACTTCATGAAAAGAGGTGACAGAGGTAAGAATAGGTTTTTATACTAAATTATCTAGTCTGGCAAAGGACAGTTACTCAAATACATGCTAAGTCTAATTTCCTCCTCCTTAAATACTTCAATGTGTCCCTCCCTAATAAATTTTAAAAGCATAAGGGTCATAGTATTCATAACAGTACATGTATTCAATATTATTTATTAAATGGATGTCATTTCTAGTTCTTGTTAAGAAACCAGGTCACTTTTTTTCCATTCTCCCTAAGAAGCTCACTGAACAAAGCTACCTCTGCTGCTTCCTGGAACAGGCATTTCATCTCACCTATGGACTTGGCTCAAAGCAACATGGAAAAAGGCAGACGAAGAAATGACGTCACCCTGAGCAGCCTTGTATCACACTTGCGTTAGGCCTGAAAGGGATACAAGTGTGAAAGAAGGCAGCATGCCAAAGCTTGTGCCTCAGAGGTGGACTTAGATTTGTTATTGCAGCTGTAATACTGGTTTTGATGCCTTAGTTTCCTGTATGGTTACATACTTCTACTTTAAGAAAAAACTACTATCCTCTAGGTAAAAAGAGTGGTCAGCCTGCCGGAACAGGGCGAAGAAATAGTAATTGAGTTCAACTTTGTTTCTCCAAACAGTACCACTAGTCCATATGTAAGTTGGGGTTTCAGTCGGTGTCAACAGCTCAAAAAGGAATTCACTTGCTATTATTAAATCAGTAGATGCCTACTTATAGAAATTTTCATATAGGACTTCTTATAAAATCTGACTTTAACACTTGTTTGGAGGATACAACTTCCATTTTACCTCCTTGACACCCGTAGAATTATAACTTTACATTCTGATTTACTTTTGTGATCCCAAAACTGCTTATTTTCCTTTTGATTTATATTTAGGAAATTTTCAAGCAATGCAAATAAAATGTTTAAAGAAAAAAAAACATACTGAAAGAGACATGACCATTGGGTTTCGTGTAACTTGGAAGAAGGAATATTTAGATGGATCAGTGGAATATACTTTAAGGTGAGAGTTGGAAGAATTCATCTATAAAGATAATATGTGGTCAGTTGTCTTCTGTGACATAATTGTTTATTTCACAATCATGAAAAAAAAGGAAAGAAAAATACATACTTTAATTCTGCTCCAAGGACCGGAAGAGTGGCTCCAAAGCAATAGAGCGCCTGCTTTACAAGCACAAAGCCCTGAGTTCAAACCCCAGTCCCACACACAAACACACAAAAAAATACTATTTATTTAATTCTGCTCCAAAATTAGTTATCTAAGTGTTCCTAAATCATAATTTCCTAGTATGAAATTCCCACTTACCTCAAAAACCTAATGATAATGTGAAAGCTCTACATTTATAAAACTATTTTAAGTCTCTTACAATTAACTCCCAATTCATAGCAAATGTGATAAGTTGGATGTCTAAACGTCTGTCCTTTCTATATATTAACCCTAAAATATTAAGGATAGGACATCTTTACATGGTTCTGTTTTGTGGAGTTGTTGGTAAAATTTTGCATTTCAATTAAGAAGAGGATTGTCAGCTGGTCTACAACAAGCATAACTTAGAAATAAGCTTTTGGTTGACTCTGTGTAAACCTGTTCAAGACAGAGCAGAACGGGTGGACCAGATTACCAGACAGAATCAAAGCAGGAAAACACAATTCCAAGTACATAAGAAGCCAATTTCATCCCAGGATTATGTTAAAGACGGGAAGTGAGCAAAAGGAGATAGGGCAGAGTGGAGATCCCTGATGTAGGGTCCAAGACAGAAATTTAAGCCAAACACAGAAGGAGCTCATTTCTTTAAAAAAATCTGATTTTACAAAAAGTAAACACATCAAGATCTAACCAATGAAAGTGGCAGGATTTCTCCCCAATAATATGTTGCAGGAACAAGTCTTTCAGTACCATACCTAACAGAAAAACACAGATTTCAGGTTAAACATTAAATACTCTTATACTGGGAAAAGCAGTCATGATGTTAGCATTTTCAAAGTTTTTATTGCTCTATTTTGTTTTTAAGCCATAGTCACGAATAATTTACAAGTCAAATTAGATGTTCTAAATTAAACATCTGGAATGAAACTTGAATGTAAACTGGAATGAAACTGGAGTAAACTGGAATGAAACTTGAGAAAGATTAACTCTATACTAGTAACAGTAATTCTAAATCCAAACTTGGTTCAAAAATAAATGGTCATATGAGAATATGTCAAAAGATAAAAGCCAATGTCTAGAGGCAAAGCAAAATCAGGAAGCAAAGGAAGAAGACAAAAGAGAAACTATTGATCGCAGCAACTGTGAGAAGTCAAGCCAAGCAAGTTAGTACATTTCCTTAATTGCTCGCGTTCAGAAACACTTTAAACTTGGCCCAGCTCTTTCCTTAAGGTCTCCCCCCACCCATTGGTGCTCAAAATTGAACTCATGGCTCAAGCATGCTAGGGAAGTGCTCTACCACTTGAGCTACAGCCCCAGCCTTCCTTAGGGTATCTTATAAGAACTTTTTGCCTCTGATGTAAATAAGAAAATTCCTTAAAAGTTTCTGTCACAGTATCAACTTTTAGAGTCGGGTCAGGTAGGCAGGCTGATGCACAGCCCTCTATGAACACATGGCTATTGTTTTAACACAGGACAAGGTTGTGTGCTATTTACACTCCTGGGCACTATTTCTGAAAAACTTAAGGTAATTTTAGATTTACTAGAAAGTTGTCCTCCTGGAAAACAAACATTTTTTTTTATGGCTTGACAAGAAGTCTACTATTAAGTTCCAGTACTAGCCTCATCAAAGCAGGTACAAGAATAGACTACTTAACAAATTTATAACTAGAGTATAAGATTTGGAACATGGTTATCTACCATGAAAGTATATTTCACTTTAATTTAGGAGAGCAAATAAAATGTCTGTTAGAGGAACAAAATGGTTTGTTACTTATATATGTCAGTTTTGAAGTAAGAATTCATCAGGGCATCTACATACACATGTACAACAGTGTGTACATAAAATGTAATAAACACAGGCACTTTTCATATTCAGAAGGAAAACATATGCAATATCTTAAGCCACATTTTTCTAAAATTTCAAGGTAAAAACTTCTAGATTTAAATTATTTCTGTTATACAACTCCCCATAGATGCTCCAGAAGAAACTATAAGACTTTAATATCTGGTGACATTCCACAAACTAAATTCATCTTAATCATGGAAATTACCATCATCAGAAATATCAAGGGAAAAGTTAACTTGACGACTAGCTGCTATAAGACTCCCTAGAAGGTGGACCATGACTGTCACACTTCTCACTGCTAAATGGAAAAACTGTTTCTTGGCAAACTGAAAAATAACACATATTAACTAAAGCAGCAAGCAATGATGAAAACAAATCCAAACGTTGAAAATGACCCACAATGTTCAAAAGCTAACGTTTATACTCAGGAGTCACTCAGCAAAATTATTAAAGGGCTTAAATCTAAGCTGGGTGCTGATGGCTCACACCTGCAAGCCTAGCTACTCAGGAGGCAGAAATGA